GCAATCAACCTTCAAAGCTTGAGGAAGACTTGATAACCAAAGAACTTTGATCCCATCACAATGTATGAATGTAATGCAACATGATGTTCATGATGAAACATAAGCCTAAATTAAGAGGGTAAATTTTGGGGTGCATCAGACTATACGATGACCCACACCCGTCCCTTCACATCCAAAGATAAGGCTCCTTACTAAATCAATGGTAAGATAGCAATATTAAAGGAAGGAAGAAATAAACAAAGACTTTTGAGTAGGTAGATTGTTCCTAGTTTCTTGCTCACTTTCAAAACAAACATCCTTGCTTATTTTCAAAATAAACATCAAACACTTTCAAAAACACTTTCAAAACGTTTTCCAAACATGAAAACATTTTCAAAAGTCCAACACTTTGTATACGTTCTTACAAACGAGAACTATTACAAAGTTTTCCTAAACGAAGGTGCCTTTTCAAAATACTTTCAAAAAACCACCACAAAGAACATTTTCAAACAAAAGCATGTGATCTAGCAAGCAACTAAGAACCCATAGATAACTATGGATTAAAAGGGTGCTAACACCTTCCCTTTTCATAATCTACCCCCCGAACTCAATAAATAATCTCAAAGGTCTTTCCTGTTATTTTAAACCTTTCATTCTGGATAAAAGAAAAGTCGATGGCGGCTCTTGTTAACAGTAACATTTGTGGTAAAACGCAAAATATCCCAAGTCAGTTCTCCAACCGTATCACAAAACTGGCGACTCTGCTGGGGAAAAACTTAAAAGTGGGGTTACCTTAAGGCTAGATCACCTTTACTTGCTTTCATTGTTTGATTTGCTTGCTTTACATTTTGGTTCCTTGTTTGGGCTTGTTCTAATCCTCTACCCGGATTTGGGATACCTTATAGGTAAGTACAAATACGTTGTGGAAACTGTGTGGGGTATACCGATATGGTCTAAGCAATAGCTACATTAGTGTGACACATTTGTGGGTACCGGTAGCCCTTGAATAGTCAAGGAGAATACAGGGCCGCTGTGTGGTGTCATGAAGCACTAACTGACTTTAGAACCTTTACTTGACCAACTTGGCCATTAGGATGTAGTGAGATAGCCGACTTTGGTGCAGACCAAAGTTGGTTGATACTCGATACTAAGCTCATTGAGATCGGACTTCTTGGGATATTTCGGTCGCTGTTAAATAGGCTTGCGCTGAAACCATGCCCGACAAGAAAGATCAGTGATATTGAGATCCCTTATAACCCAGTTACCATTTCTAGGACAGGTTTGAGCCAACTAAACTTCAAGAGGGTACTTACCTATAAGACTCCATGAAATCCTAAACCTAAGGACTTGTTTGGTCTGTTTGTATATGCTTATTTTTACATAACATCATAACATCATACTCATTCTCACTAACCATTTCAAGGATTTTTGGTATTTATCTTTGTTCTGTTTTGTAGGACATGGCTTCTATCCACAGGAAAACCATTCAAGTCAATCTCGTAAGAATTCCTTCTCAACTCAAAGAGTTAGCATCAAGGGTCCCTGGGAACTCTTCATTCACTGAAAGACATGGTCGCCTCTTAAACTTGGTTACCTCTAGCACAAATGAAAATATGATGAAGGTGCTTTTCTAGTTCTTTGATCCTCTACACCATTGCTTCTGATTATCAGCTTGTACCTACTATGGAATAATTCTCTCAACTCTTGAGGATTCCCATTCTCAATCAACTACCTTCAACGGTACGGAAAGAGATCCAAAACCTGAAGAGATTGCCCGAGCACTACACATGAAACAATCTGATGTCATGACTAATTGGGAAACAAGGAGTGGCATCAAAGGTTTCTTAGCAAAGTTCTAGTTTGAGAAAGCTCAAGATTATTGGAACTCTTTGGACTTACAAGATTTTGAAGAAATATTGGCCCTTCTCATCTATGGGATGGTTTTGTTTCCAAACCCTGGCCAACTTATAGATGTAAATGCTGTCAAAATCTTCATGTCTCGCAATCCGGTGCCTACTTTGTTGGGAGACATCCTACATTCTTTTCACTCTCGCACTATGAGGAAGAGAGGGATCCTCATGTGTTGCACTCCTCTCTTGGCTAGATGGTTTATTTCGCATCTTCCCCGGTATGTATTGAAGAACGATCAAGGTTTGAAGTGGTCCCATAGGTTGATGACGCTCAGGCATTTAGATATTCATTGGTGTTCTTGATCCTTGGAGAATGTTACTATCATTGACCGTTGTGGGGAATTCCCTAATGTCCCTTTTCTTGGAATTAGGGGAGGTATCACTTATAACCCTTGCTTAGCTTTACGACAGTTTGGTTATGCCCAAAGGGATGGCCCTCATGAGATTCTCATCCAAGGAGTGGTATTTGACTATGAAAGCGACGATTAAACCTACCGTCAGAGGTTTATCTGAGCTTGGAGGATAGTGAGCAAAATGGATAGTAAGACGCTGGGACACAAGAATTCCATTCCCCTTGAGCCTTATCTTAGGTGGGTGCGAGCTCATGCTCAGAAACTTGGGATTCCTTATCCCTCCATCTTACCAGTTATCATGGAACCCGTGGTTGAAGGAGATGTCCCGTACACGATCCTCCATCCCGACATACCTACTTCTCTTAAAGACTTGAAAAAAGGTTGGATTCACTAAAGGAAGAACGAGATACCTTCGAAGCTCAATTCTATGCTAGTGAGAAAAGGGTCTTGGAGCTTACAAAGTAGCTACATGAAGATCAAAGCGTGAACGCCTACATTGCGTCGAAGAGGATGTGTTCGGTATTTTTATCTTAGAGATTCATCTTGTGATCCCAAGCGGCATGTTGTAGTCATTTTCAATTAATTAATGAAATTTGAAGTTTGTTCATGCTTTGTCTATACAAATTTAAATTTCATAAATCCTTGAAATAATTTGCATACACATCTCCCATGCATCATAACATAACAGGTTTTCACACAACATGTTTCCTTATCTTTCTGCTGTTTATTTCAGCAAGATGGATCTAGAGAAAACTCTAAAGGACCTTCAGGAACAAAACTCTCAATTCGATGAGACTCTATAGGCCCTAGCCAAGGGGCAACAAGATATGATGGCATTGCTGGCAGCTAAAAAGAAACCTAAGAAGAAAGCCCTGGTTAACATGGGTAGAAGGTTCAAAGAATCGGTTCGTCAGATCCCGGTGGTGGAAGACTCATCTTAAAAAGAAGAGAATTAGATTGGTAAAGTTAGGAGTACCCGGGATGACTATATTAATGATCAAGTTTTTGATGATGATGATTATTTAGATGAGCAATATCCTCCCGTCGATGTCAAGTACAAACAACTAGAAGACAAGTTGAAGGCTGTTAAGATCCAAGTCGTCCCCAGTTTAGATTTTGATGATTTGGTTTTGATCTCTGGAGTTGTTATTCCCCACAAATTCAATATACTAGTCTTTGCAATGTACGATGGAGTTTCTTGTCCAAAACTTCACCTGAAATCTTATGTGCGCAAGATACAGCCACACACCACTGATAATAAACTATGGGTTCACTTATTCCAAGAAAGCTTGACCGAAACACAATTAGAGTGGTTCTACCAGTTGGATGGTTCCACTATCAATACATGGGAAGATCTATTTACCGCTTTCTACCACCAGTACCAGTATAATGCCGACTTGGTACCAACAAGAGTTCAGTTGCAAGATATGACAATGGGGAATAATGAAGGATTCAAAGAATATGCACAAAAGTGGAGAGACCTTTCCAGTAGGGTTCAACCACCTTTGACTGATAGGGACACTACAAGAAAATTGGCAGATTGCGACAGGTATTTTTGTAGATTACGACGGTTAAAACCGTCGCAATTTGCTTTCCACGACGGTTGCTTTACCGTCGCAGAAGTGTGTGTCCCCAACCTATTTCGCGACGGTTACAAAAACTGTCGTTCAAGTTTACGACGGGTTGATACCGTCGTGACTATCTTTTGAGTTTCTTTTAATTATTGATGGCGACGGTTCGATACTGTCGTGAATATCTTTTGAAATTGATTAAATTGTTTATGGCGACGGTTCGATACCGTCATGACTTTTGTTGATTATTTTTAATTGTTGATTACGACGGTTCGGTACTGTCGCCATGACTTTTGTTTATGTCTTGATTTTTTTTTATTTTTCTATTATATATATTTTTTATTTAAATTATTATCTATGTAAAAAATTTTAAATATAGTTTTTTTTTGTGTTATTTTTTCTTTAATATATTTATTTATAGTATTATTTTTTGTTTTATTTTCTATCACTTTGTAATATAGTAAAAATAATTTCAATAAAAAATATTTAACATCAAATAAGCATTATAATATCCAAAAAAATGTGTGTTCCATAATCATGTAAAATGCGAGTTCCATAATCATGTCAAGTAGTACAAAAAACCCAAAATATATCAATTCCTAATCTTATAATAATAAGTATCATTATGTCAAAAATACATGAGAAAGTTCACAATCTAATTAAGAAAAAAACAAGTCACAAATAATTCTTTTGGTCAAAAAAATGAAAAATAAAAGTAAAAATCAATACTTTATCCTAAAAAATATTGACAAATGAAAGTAACAAAAATAATTATTTATCTACAAATCCTAATTCAACGATATTATTTATCTGTGAATTTTGGTACACACAGTTTTGTTGTGTAAGTTTATTATTGGTTAGTCTATGAAAAGAAATAACTAGTCACATTTATCAAACTGCTTTGCAATCCCAAATCATAACCACAATCCAAGAATAATTTTGTCAAATATATTATGAATAGATTTGATGAGTTTGTGTATTCTATACTAGTTTGTAGTCTCCATAACAATCCAAACATGTGTAACAACAATTGATAACATCAGCACAAAAACTTGTTTCAAGCCCTTGTACATCATCAGACTTTTACCACTCTTGACCACATGAGTTTCCAAGTTGTAATACTTATTTGCATCTCAAAATCTTGATTGAGATTCTGAGTTCTTGTTCTATCAAAATCACACTACTGTCTAATCCTTGTCACCATTTTCACTTACAGCAACATAAACAAATGGACCTACAAAAACATCATCAAAATCTTGAAGTGGTTCCAAGATCTTAACAACATCACTCATACAAGGTCTTGGATTTGGGTGATGACTCAAACATTTAAAAGCCAACATAACAACTTTCAAAGCTCCTTTCATAGGAAACTGTCCTTCAAGTCTACGGTCTATGATTCTCTCAAGTTTCTTTTCATCTCTCAACATAGGTCTTGCCCATTCTACCAAGCTCTTACCTCTTTTTGATTCTAACCACTTGTCCACTACCCTTCTTCCTGTAAGCAATTCCAATAGAACCACTCCATAGCTATACACATCACTTTTTGTTGTAAGGTGACCTATATATATATATAATCAATCATCCTAGAGTTAATTGTTTTCAAGTTCAACCCTCTGGTTTTCAAGAAAACGGATCATGATAAATATTCTACGACCATAATTTGGGCCTATACATCAAAGTTTTGATATCTTTATCACCAATGTTGCGACTACATCAGCCACATTTGACTTGTTCGCTTCCCGTCTTTGATATTGCAGAGAATCGAACTACTCAAATATGGCTGATGTACGAAACTAGATTAACAAATTGTATGTAGTGTAAACACCTGTCATGATGTACTCAGGAGCAGCATAACCATGCGTTCCCATTACGCGCGTTGTGACATGTGTTTCTTCCCCTTCAGGGCCATCTTTAGCTAGGCCAAAATCCGATAATTTGGCTGTATAATCCTGAATTTGAAGGGAGATAGATACAAGAAAATTAATTTCCTAATATGGTAACATGAAAGATGATCATTCATCTGAAATGAAAATATGAAGTAAACAAAAAGGAAACAAATAAGAACAACATACAGAGTCTAGTAAGATATTTGAAGCTTTGAAATCTCTATATATTACAGGCTTATCTGCTTCATGAAGGAAAGCCAAACCCTTAGCAGCACCTAATGCAATTTTCATCCTTGTTGACCATGGCATAGCAGCAGAATATCCTGCTTGTAACTTGTTAGAACATCAACCTCATACTCAAAACAAAACATATACTAAAAATACAAACATAAGACACACAAAATTCGATTACACAAACGTCGCGGCTACAATACTTTTCTATTATTCAAACTCAAGATTTAGAAAAACAACATACTTCTGAATAGTTGACTCTCCAAGCTACCTCTTGGCATGTATTCATACACCAAAAGCCGGTGTTCATCTTCGCAACAATATCCAATTAACTTCACAAGATGGTGATGTCTTAGTTGTCCAAGAAATATAATTTCTGCCTAGAAAATAAAAACATGTTCAAAATTGATTTTGATATTTTTAAATCATAACATATGTTTGATTGGATTCAACCAAGAAATCATAACATATGCACAGTGAAAGAAAAAAAAATCACAATAAGCAACATATGAAATTGTTTTCGACAATATTCAATTTAACATAGAGTTCATAAACATTTTAAAAACAAAAACAAAACTTCACCTCTCTTAATGCACCAATGCGAGGTAAAACCAGTGTATCTTTCTTAATCTCCAACACCAATTCTCTGGCAATAGGTGAACTAAAGAAAACAAATGCTCTACAAAAACACAGAATATAACAGGCTTGAAAACCAATAAGTAGAAGTGAAGGTGAAATCGCAAAAAAAAAGGTACGAAAGAACACATACTTCCTGTATAAAGGTTTTCTTCCAGACATATCTGACAAAAACATTATTACACTGCCAACACAGAGGGAGAATCAATAAGAAACAATTCTATAAAACCAGGTGGAATAGGTTAACTAAAACCATTTTCAAAGCAGCTAATTGAAACTATCATAGAAACAAGTTTATAATATTCCAAATATGCATTATTAGAAGAGAGATAGTGCACTTTTACCATCTCTTCTTCTCTTTCCCAGTGCCGATTTCAAATCTACACCACAAAATTCATAAAATTTACATGCATTTCAAAAAAATATAAACAATTTCTGATACTAAAATACACGAAAATACCGTCTTCTTCAAAGTCACTGCCGGAATCGTTGGGGTCATCGGAGACAGAAGGAGGAGCTCGAAGAGAATCGGTGAGGGAGTTATGGTCATTGACGACGACGCCGAAGGAATTGTAGTTTTGTGTGACGCTGCCTTTTTCATCCCATTTAGGGTCTTCTACAAGGGATTGTAACAGTTTGGGAGGAATGGTGAAAGAGGGTTTCAAAACTTTAGGGTTCTTCTTTAGAGAATTCTTGTATTTTCTTCGTGAGTAGAAAAAGTGAAAGGAGGAGTAGAAAGTGAATTGATGTTTTATGTATTTTAAGAGCTTTTTAACTTTTTTACGGCGACGGGTGTTTTACCGTCGTGACCATGAGAATTTTTAAAAGTTTTGGGTGCGACGGTTGTTTTACCGTCGTGAAATGAATTTTAGGACGGATAATTTTACCGTCGTGAAAGGTTTAAGAGTGCGACGGGTGCTTTACCGTCGTGATATGCCTTTTAGGACGGTTAATTTTACCGTCGTGACTAGTTGTTGGTGAAAAATCAATGTTAAAAGTGTTAAATGGGGGCCGACGGTTGTTTTACCGTCGTAATAATAATATTATGATGGTTAATTATACCATCGCAAAATAAATATTAGGGACGGTTGGTGTCAACTGTCGTAAACACTGTCTCTATATGTCAATTACGACAGTTATCACATAACTGTCGCAATTTTTGTGTCGTTAAACACTAATTTTCTTGTAGTGGGAGGATATTGACATGTTTATGAGTACCTTATCTGGTCAATTCTTCAACTTGTTGGTTAGTTGTTCTTCTTCCAGTTTCACTGAGCTAATCTTAACCGATGAAAGGGTTAAGAGATGCATCAAAAGAGGGAAGATCCCCATGGCATCTGCCTCCACTTCCAATCCTGTAAAAAAACCTTTTGCCGCAAATAAGGAAATCAATGTTGTGTATTGGGCAAGGGCCCGTACCAAGAAAGATGATCGCCAGTCTGTTAATGTTGTCTGAATCTACAATCCAACTCCTACTCAAAGACCATCTGCTAATCATCAACAGTTTGAAACTCTGAGAAGATAATTCATGAGGATAGGCATGTAACTATCCCGAGCCTTACAACATTTGCTAAAGGCTAATTTGGTGATATTGCGCGATCCTCTGGCCAACCCAGATACCTCGTCACCAAAGTATAATCCGAATGCTAAATGTGCTTACCACTATGTTGTACCCTAATTTTTTTCCCTAAGATCCTTTCATCATACCATGTTGATTCATTCACAATAAAATCACACTAGGATTCTTGGTTCCCCTCCCTACATGTAGCTTTTCCCTTTTGAAGAATCACCAAGCACCTTGACTTATGTTCTTTTGTGATCATGAATATTGTTTTTGTCTTGATTTCTTCTTTCAACTAAATAAAATGCAATGTTGGTTTGTCTTGCTTGTAATCCATGCCCTAGTCAATAAAGCTTGAGAATTTAAAACCTCACCATTGGATTAGTTTTGCAAGAATTGGCATGGCAAGGTTTTTTTGGGTTATCACATTTCAAGGTTATCAAATTTGGTTGAAAAGCACAAGGGATTGATTGGAGAAGTTGTCATGGTTGGACAAGATTTTATTCCATTTGGTCACAAGTGCATATTTCTCTAAATGTTCAAGATATAGAAGTGGTTTTTGTAGCTATGAGTTCTCATTATCATCCTCAACAAATTCTATTTACAAATCATGTGTGTTGGTACAAGAAGTTTGTTCAAAATTGTCAAAGTTCGTCAAAGAATTCTCTTGATAAAAGAGCTAGGGTTTTAAACTTCAAAGGAATATATCTTGCTCATCTCTTGGTATTTTTGTGTGATTCCAAAGACATCTTTCTCTTAAAAGGGTTATTAAAAAATCACTTCAAAAGTTTCAAGGAGTTGTCATGAGGAAGAGACTCAATGAGGAAGAAAGATTACAAGTCCTCCAGATGAATCCTCAATTTTCCATGTGTGACTTCAAATGATCATAACATGGTCAATTTTTACAAGAAATACCAGTATAACGCCGACCTTGCTCCCACATGTACTTAACTTCAGGGTATGTCTATGGGTGCGAGCGAAGGTTTTAAGGACTATGCTCAGACATGGAGAGATCTGGCAGGAAGAGTCCAACCCCCTCTGTCTGATAGGGAGTTGGTGGATATGTTTCTTGGAACTTATCCTGTTGCGTTTTTCAATCACTTGATCGGCAGTTCATCATTTGGATTTACTGAATTGATTTTGACTGGGGAGAGAGTTGAAGTTGGTATCAGAAGTGGCAAAATACATAAAGGTGCTTCATTGAGTACAGAAAAGAAGCCTTTCAAGAAAGAAGCTAGTGCAGTTTACAGCTCGAGGAGCCAAAACCGACCTGAACGCTGCCAAGCAGTTAATGCAGTAGTAATATCAAGACCCACCGTTTCCCCACAATGCAACAATCAGCAAAGAATGGAGAGGCCACAAAGACAGTATACTCGGCCCAGTACGACCTTATCTCAAATTCTTCCGCAATTGTTGAAGACCAACCTGGTAACTCTGAGGGAGGACCCCAAGAATCCCAGTACCACGTCTCCGCTGTATAATCCAAACACCCGTTGTGCCTATCACTCTTAGCCCAGGGCATGATACAAACAATTGTTGGGCCTTGAGGAATAAGGTGCAAGATTTGATTGAAGCTAAAGAAATTGATTTTGACGCACCGGAAAAGCCTAACGTCATGACTGCTCCTATGCCCAAGCATGGAGTAAATGATATGGACGATGATTCATTTTTTACTTATGTGGAATACATTTCTACTCCGTTGATGACAGTAAAGAAGAACCTATTATCGGCCGGTTTATTTCCGGGTTGTGGCGAAGGTTGCCACCTATGTTCAATCCTGCCTGCTGGTTGCCATTTACTGAAATCAGGTGTTCATCGCCTGATGGATAACAGAGAGATCCTGTTTGAGAAAACTTTGGTTCCATTGATCCCAGTTGAAGATGTTTCCATAATAACCATTTCCGTCAATCCTTCCAAGGCTTCCTCGAGAAAGCCTGTTAGGATTACACCCGTTACAAGAGTTGCTCCATTGATCATTACTATTCCAGGTCCTATCCCTTACACTTCGGATAAGGCTGTCCCGTGGCACTATGGGGCCGCTGTGTATTATCATGGGTTAAAACAAGATTTGAAGGTTGAAGAAGCTGATACTGATGTCAGCAATATTGTCGGGACTAGCAAGGTCACCCGAAGCGGAAGACTCTTCTCTCCTGAGATCTCCCCTCCGACTGTTAAAAAGCTTATTGTTATTCCATCCTCCAGTACATCAGTTACTATTCTAATTCTTACTCCAGTTATCACCCCTGTCGCCGAGTCATCTAACACTCGGGGCAAAGAAGTTATAGGTGAGCCTTCCCGGATGGAGGCACCTAAGAAGATTATTGTAGAGACCTCTAAGCAGGAGATAGAGGAAATTCTGAAGATTATCAAGAAGAGCGACTACAACGTAGTCGAGCAGCTGGGGCAGACCCCGTCGAAGATCTCCATGTTATCCTTATTGTTGTGCTCGGAGGACCATGAAAAGGCTTTAATTGCTTTCCTTAAAACTGCGCATGTGCCGCAGGAAACTTCTACTGATCAATTCAAAGACCGTGTGGCTAGTTTGACCGCTGACAATGGGTTGGGTTTCTCCGACGCATATCTAACTACCAAAGGAAGGTATCACAATGATACTCTGCATATCTCGATCGAGTGCAGGGGCACTACTCTGGCCCACGTACTGGTGGATATTGGGTCCTCATTAAATGTTTTACCCAAGAAAGCATTAGATCAGCTGGACTATGAAGGGTTGGTTATGAAGCCGAGTAATATTGTGGTTAGGGCCTTTGACGGGTCCAAAAGGATGGTGCACGGGGAGGTGGACGTCCCTGTTAAAGTTGGCTCTCAGACTTTTGCATCTACGTTCTATGTGATGGACATCTGACCATCTTATTCTTGTTTGCTGGGTCGCCCGTGGATTCATAAGGCTGGGGCAGTGACTTCTGTGCTCCATCAGACGTTGAAATATCCAGTGAAAGGGAAGATTGTTACAGTACAGGGTGAGGAGGAGTACATGGTGAGTCATCTTAACTCTTTTCGGTATGTGGAGATGGATGGAGAGTTCATCGAAACCCCATGTCAAAACTTTGAAGAAGTCCCCCAGACTTTGGCATCGACTGAAGTTGTTGCTGTCAAACCTCCAATGAAGATGGCTTCCCTCAAGGATGCCAGGGCAGTTATTGAAAAAGGTAGGTGTGCAAATTGGGGTCAACTCCCTTACTTTGCACACAAAATTGACAAGTTTGGTTTTGGCTTTACTGCAGAGGCTCAAAGGACTGTTCGACGTGCACGGATTGGAAGACCTCCCCTACACATCAGTAATCCAGGAGTGAATGTAATTGAAGACGATGAAGAAGGGTCAGATTTTGACTGCTGGATTTACCCGAGTACCGATGGTGGATTGAACAATTGGACGGCGAAGGACTTCGTGCCCGTTTCTTTTATTACACAGTAATAGACTCTTGTTTTGAGATTTGTAACAGACAGTTTTAAAACATTACGGCCCGGTGCCTTGCCCGAGACACCGTGGCTTTGTTTGTGAGGGCTTATTATGTGTTATTTCCATATATCATCAATAAAGCATTGGACGTTTTCTTGCATTACAAATTTTGCGCTCCTTGTT